AATGTTGCTTCACAAGTTTCCAACAAAGCGCCCAAGGTTCCCACAACCTTCGCTCCAAGGTTCGTGCAAGGTTCCCGCAACTTTGCTGCAAGGTTCCCAGAAGCTTCCCACAACTTTGCCCATTTTGCTCCAAGGTTCCTACAAGGTTCCCACAACTTTTTTGCAAGGTAAGGTTCCCACAACTTTGCCCCACAAGGCCCCCAAGGTGCCCACAACTTCGTTCCACAACTTTGCCCCACAAGGTTCTTCCAATTCCCACGAGGTTCCCACAACGGGGCCCCGAGGTTCCCACAAGGTTGGCGCAAGTTTCCCACAAGGTTCCCGCAAGGTTCCTAATCGACAGTCAAGGAAACGTCATCATACCTCAAGTCTATTTCATTGTGCTTCCTACTGCTACCTTTTACCTTGCTAACCTTTTGGTATCCTATCCTCTTAGTTTCCTCCCTGTTCTCCATTCGGGCTCCGAATCCGCCTTCGGGCCCCGAATCCGGTTTCCGGCTCCAAATCCGGTTTCGGAGCCCCAATCCACAGTCAAGGCAACCTCATCATACCTCAAGTCTATTCAATTGTGGTTCCTTCTCTTAACTTCCTAACCTTCTAGTATTCTATTCTCTTAGTTTCCTCCTATTCTCCATTCGGGCCCCGAACCCGAATCCGGCTTCGGGCCCGAATCGACAGTCAAGGAAACCTCATCATACCTCAAGTCTATTTCATTGTGCTTCCTACTGTTACCTTTTGCCTTGCTAACCTTTTAGTATCCTATCCTCTTAATTTACCTTGCTAACCTGAAGAAAAAGTGTTGCATTTTGCGCTTAAGCTGTTTGGGATATTCTTTGGGCTTATTTTCTTTGTTTTTCTGAGTCATGTGAAACCATATGATATCATTTGATTGCTTCATCCCAACTTCATGCCATACCCTCTCCTACCGTGCACAGGTCAAGAAGCAGTTCTTCAGGGAAGTCCACTGACGAGTAGCATAACTCCGACTTCCAGGTGGCCACACCACCTGGTGGTGAAGATAGTCTTTCACAGGTCTAGTTACATGTCCATGTCGTGACCGAGCATGCGCCCTTCGTGTGTCGGAGTTCGGTTTGGTTTTTCCCTTCCCTTCTGCGAGACCTCACTGAGCTTGGTGCCGGTGCGCTCGGTCGCGGTCGCCCCTCAGGAGGACACTGGCCTGCGAGATGTCCATGGTGGGCCCCGGTGAGGATGAGCGGACCGCTTTGGGTGGCCGGTTTGGGGTCTTGGGGGTTGTGTAGTGGGCCGCTTTAGTGCAGGAGCTCACTCAGACCCTTCCCAAGATGCCAAGTCAAGAGGAAGGTGCCCAGAGAAACGCGATGTGGCCCCGCCCGAAACCTCGAAAGACATACTTCAAATGGTAGTCTCAGTGACGAGTTGGTGTTTTGGCTGTTTTGCTTTGTTCGTCAAATGTGTCCACATGGCAGGCCATCGAGTGAATCCAAAGGCGCCTGGCTCCACGCGCTCGCCCGGGCGCAGCGACAGCGACAGCGTTGCGACAGCCACGGTCACGCCGGCGCAGGTGGTGCGCTTCGTGGAGCAACGCGCTTCAGCACTGGCACCGCCCGCATCCTGGGAGAGGTGGAGCTCAGTTGGGACGTCTGGAGGGAGCTAACAAGTTGGGGTGAAGGACGTCGATTTTCATGGCGTTTATGGTAGGCAGGTTGGAAGGTTACGGAAGGTTCTGGTTTCAGATCGGTGGATGTCTACGACACGATCCATTTGCAGGACAGAATCTGTGCACTAGATGCATTCATTTTTTGGCGCGGTGTGTGTGTGTGTCACACGCTGTATCTAAGAGTTTCTTCCACTCACTCATTTCAAGCAGGGGATGGAGACACCTGTATTGCTTCTCCATCAACGAAGCTGGCAATACATGGTGAGGATATCAGTTCCGGACGCGGAACTGACGTACCTGCTACAAGAACTTTTCCACACGCTGTGACTCTACTTTTCCCTTTTTTTCTTCCATGGTGGTTGTCCATGATACCTTCCCCACAAACAGGTTTCCTTCGGCATTGCAGCTGCTGCCGCCGCTTTCGCTTGAGCGTTTTTGAGAAACATTTGTTTAACACTCAGTTGCTCGGACTTTTGCTGCCTTTCCGATCCATCGCCATTTTCGACTTGGGAACTGAGCTAACTGAAAACCAATGTCAGAGTGTGTGCCGCTCTGCCGTCCCACGTGTGATCCCCGTCACTGGGGCGCTGTCTTCACCCAGACTACCGTTTAACGGGCTCAGCGGTTTACTGCGCACGTTGGATTCTCTCAACCGACTTTTGGTTCACCCTTGTATTCCCAAAACCAAAAAGCCGCCGGCAGCTTCCCCACCCAGCCACATCACACCACTCCGACTATACCCGTTACCGACCGCCTCCAGCAGCCATGTGACCATTCAGGATGCCACCGCCCAGACAACCTCACCATGGATCTCCGTTTTGGACACCCATTTCACCGCCCCAATGTTCCATCAATCGCAACAGACTACTTCACGACCAGATACCCACAGCCGCCACGCGCAGACAGACATCAATGCTATTGTCCTCTACCCCGCGTTTGCGGGCATCCCAGCCACACCACACACGGAGCAATCAACCTCTTCCAATACCACGGCTAACATTCCCAACACCACGTCACCCAACCTTACTGCCGCAGCAAACAAGCAACCCCATGAACGCTGGCAGTACGTCAACCTTATCCCCACCCCTACAGTGACCACTCCAGCGCAACCCGAACTCACTCAGGATTTTCCTTCCCCTATTGGCGGTACCCCGCGCCACAGGCATTCCAAGACCCCACCACGTTCGACCACCCCTACCCGCACTCGACAACCAGACCCACCAACCTCCTGTTTCAGCACCTCCACAAGCTTCGGCCCCACCACCACACGCATGGCCATCCTACTATCAAGTCCAACCACAACAGCCGCCCCCAACACAACTGGCTCCAGAATACACAACACCACCCACGAACACCGCAGCGACTCCCACCCTGTTGACTGCCCGACCATCGGGCTATTATGATACGCAGGGGCGCCCCCTGCCACTTCACCAACAGGACCACCGCCCCGAACATGACCCCTGGCACGCTGACAACCACTGAACGCGCCGCAGCCTGATGTTGGCCACAAGAGCCTCTTGATCCGTTGATGTGTTTGTTCTCAACCGACCACGCAACTTCACTGAATCACCTGCTCTATTACACCGATCTTCGGATTACAGCCATCCACAACGAGGCCTCCACCTGTTTCACTCCGCGCCACGAAAAAACGATTGCGACAAGTGCTGCCGGACATTCACTGTTTGTTATCCGCTGCGCTTTTACAGTGCATTTCAGACTTCAGGTTTCCTCATTAGATTTGCTGGTAACCAATAGGACAGCTACTCTGACCATGTTTCACATCCTGGCTGCACTTTTTTACCACCCTCCATGTTTTTTTCCTCTTCGCATCGAACTTTTAAGCCTGCTCAAGCAATTACTCGCGATTGTCTACATTTGAGTTCCAGCCGCTGCTTCACCATGGACGCACAATGGCAACAGTACTACTGGAACCACTATTTGCTCCAGCAGCAGCAACATCAGCAGCTAGCCACCACAGAAGCCGCCACCACCCATCCTTCCACAAGCCACCACTCATACAACCCCACTGGCACCTATGGTCCACTCACTCACGCTCTTCGCGCGCACCAGACTCACCACACACACCCATACACGCCACCACCGGAGGAGGGGCCGCTGGCTCATCGCCTCCCCCACCACCCCACATCCCTTCCCCCAAGCCACCACTCCAAGATTCTTGGCACCAAACTGACCACCATTGGGACGCCAATACACTTCACGGCCACCAGCTCTATCGAACAATACAACCTACCCAATGGGCCGGTGTTGCCGGCCTTCCAACATTTGACATTTTTCCCTGGCAACTCGCATACCACGGCACGGCCGAGTATACAGCACGCACCCTTAGCCATGCGAAGTACACCGGCTTCATCGCCGCTCGGAGTGTGGCCGAATCCGTTTTTGTCACACACCTCCTCCAGGAAATCAGGGAGAAGCGCCTGGACCTAGACGGCATCGCCGAAACCCTCCACACCACGCAAGGCACCGACATCCCCAGCAAGACAACGCAAGCACGCGCTTTCCACGCCCCCTTGATCAACCTCCTCACCCAGCAACTCCAATCCCACTCACCGGCACCGGCAGAGGGCACTGCTCTACGGGCCAACGACGAGCTTGCCCGCGCAAAACAGAAACTCCACAACTTGGGCAATCCTCTCACCCCCGTGAAGGGCACCAGCCACACTACAGGCTCAACCCACCCCACCCACCAACCCCACCAGCACACAAGCCACCAGTCCTGGCTGACGTCCTGCAACCTCCACACCCAGCCCTGAAGGACGACATCCCTGACAGCTGGACGAACACCGACATCCAGCATTGGGTAACCACTTTTGACCCCACAGTCCAAGAGGCGGCCAGCGAAGTCTTACGCCTGCTCCAAACAAGCAAGGTCACCACACAACAATTGAAGGAAGCAGCCACTCGCTATGGCCTCCCTCTCGGTCGCGTCAACCGTTTACCCATCCGCAGTTTGCAACAACTGGTCAGCGTAGGTGCAGCCATCGGCTGCTGACTCGCTATTCTCAGCCAGCAGCAACCCAGCCACACTACCATGCAACATCTCTTTCACCTCCACCGCGCCTTATCCATTTTGATCCACCACACCCAATACATAGAACGAGCAGAAGCCATCTTCGCAACAGGCCTCATTCACATCACACTACTCTTTGCATATCCATCCACAACACATCGATCTCAACAGTGGCGCAACCGCTTCCGCCAACTCCACATTCTTCCACACACCTACCACTACCACAACTTTCTTTCCCAGAACTCCGTTTACGTCAAACTCTACTTCAACCCCATTCCGCCACATCGTTGTTACCACCAGCATGGCCACTTCTACGTCGGCTCCACAGCCATTGGCATTCCAAACCGAGAACACAACCGCCGAGCCAAGCTCAAGCAACTCCAGAACAATATCCCAATCTCAGCAGAACTCTCCTTACGCTATTTGCATTCCCACAACAACATTCACCACTACACCACCATTCAGCTCACATCCCACGACACTTACGATCAGGCCTGGATCCAAGAACACCATCACATTGCCAACTGGATGCCCACACTCAACTGGCCTTTCATATCGCACCACCTCAAACTTAAAGCTCAAGGATGGCAATTCACAAAACATCGAGCACACTTCTACTCCCGATTGGCCACTCACAAACGTCTCTTTCGACGACTACGACAACGCCAACACACCATCAGAGAACCACACCTCTACACTTCCACCAAACACCACGCTCTCACACTTCTCCGCAACCTCACAAAACACACAGCCGCCTCCTTTGAAGCAGCAAAACAACTGCGCAGCGGTCGTCATACTGACCTAGAAGTCTACGCCATCAGGCGCATGGCCGCCAACCTCGAAGAACCAGGCCGCAGCAGGGCTCTCCACATCATCAACAAAGCCCTTCTTTACCGCAATCTCACACCACCCAAACCGAACATCCCGCTCACAGTGCCTTTCCTGGCGCATGATGACTTTACAAAACACTGCCAACAGTGGCTCCGCACCACCATTCAGCAACACAAACATTTGGCCATTCCCCTCCACCTCCCATCGAAGCAGCCCACAAGACCCTACGATCCCAACTCCACAATCACCGTACCTGGGAGGATACTCTCCACTCACCACCTGATCCAGAAGACCTCCCTTGTGCACCTTGCACAGCATTTGGAACCTTTCCTCGCGCACCAATGGCGCCTCCACAACACCCATCTCAAACAACAACCCCGCTTTACAGCCCGCCTGCTCCGTCAGCTCCAGGAATATCTCGGCCCACACACAGTACTTCACCATGCTGACCACGAACTACAACAAACTCCGACTGTTCTGCCCTCGCCAATACTTCACCGGTGCCTTGAACACGTGGCAATCCCCTGAACTTTTCGAACCACTTCCCTATCTTACAGTCGCCAACATCCACGACCATCTCAAAGCCACTGTTCCACCCACCCTCCGCACCCGCTACAAGTGGGGCTTCCGCAAGGATTTCAACATTCCCAATGGTGTGGTCCACCTCAAGGAGAAAAAGCAGTGGCAGAAAGGCCGCACCATTATCTCATACTTTCATTCACTCAGTGACAACCTCCTACGCATCACCAGCCGTGCCCTTGACATCATTCTCCAACATCTTTACCCACAGCATCCAGGACAGCTATCCATCCCACAACTCTGGCGCCACTTCCACTGCTACCTCACCCAAACCCCAGCAGACATCTCCCTGTACGCCGCCAACGATGACCTGGTTGGCTTTTTCAACTCGGTTCCCCAGCATCGACTGATCGACGCAGTTCACTCCATGATTCACCACTGGCAACAACAGCAATCCACACACACACACACCCTCACAGTGGATGTTCAAGCCACAGGCAACCCCTTCCACCACTCCCACATCGGCCGTCACCACCACAAACACCCCACACAACGTACCATCCAGACCTCCGACATCACCGCCATTGTCACCTATGCACTCAACACCTGCATTTTCCGGGCTTGCAATAACACATACAAACAAATCCGAGGAGCAGGGATTGGATCCCAACTCTCTCCAGCCCTATGCAATGTCGCCATCACACTCATTGAACACTCCTGGCACCAGATCCACAACAATTTACTTCAACGCACTGACCTACACTTTGCCTACTACCGCTACGTTGACAACAGATTCATTGTACACAACGAACACTTCCTCCGCCACCCGGCCATTCAAACCCTCATCCACCACAACTTCTTTGGAGACCCAGTGGAACTCGAACCTGTCGACGACTTCCACCTCCTGGGCTTCAATATTGACCTACAACAACGTACCATCACCTACATACAACCTTCACAACCCTGGAAAATCAGGGATGCCACCACCGCCGAGAGCCAGCGCTTGGCTCTGTCAGGCCTCCAATCCAGACTACACACTATCCAAAAAAGGACACAACCAAATTGCTTGCAGCCGATTTTTGAAAGAAAAAAGCGCCGATCACGGCGATCTGTGTGTGTCAACCCCTGGGCCAAGGGTTCACCACCACGACCTTTTCCACCACAATTTTATACGCAGGGGCACACGGCATCCATGACCTACCGTGTGCAACGAAGCTGCGGTCATGGATGGGAAGGGAAGGCTGATCACCTTCCTGTACCTGCTTTCAACACACTGACTCCAATGGTCCACCCTGCCGCTGTTCGTTGTTTCCATGGTTCTTCTTCATGATACTTTCCCGCAACAACAGGTTTTCCCACAGCCGCTTTTCAGCCGCTCGTCCGCTGCTGTCACGATCCTGCAGATGTGCACAAACTATTTGTTGAAGCACCTTCAATTGATCAGACTCATCACCTTGCCGTTGAGCCATTCCTTTCCTCGGGGAATTGAGTGTAACTGAAAACCCATGTCAGAGTGTGTGTCACACTCTGTATCTAAGAGTTTCTTCCACTCACTCATTTCAAGCAGGGGATGGAGACACCTGTATTGCTTCTCCATCAACGAAGCTGGCAATACATGGTGGGGATATCAGTTCCGGATGCGGAACTGACGTACCTGCTACAAGAACTTTTCCACATGCTGTGACTCTACTTTTCCCTTTTTTTCTTCCATGGTGGTTGTCCATGATACCTTCCCCACAAACAGGTTTTCTTCGGCATTGCAGCTGCTGCCGCCGCTTTCGCTTGAGCGTTTTTGAGAAACATTTGTTTAACACTCAGTTGCTCGGACTTTTGCTGCCTTTCCGATCCATCGCCATTTTCGACTTGGGAACTGAGCTAACCGAAAACCAATGTCAGAGTGTGTGTGAAACCCTTGGAGTCACCGGGAACCTTTGGGTTTCAGTTTGCTTGGAAGTGGTGCGCAGTCTTGGAGTCACGAGTTTTTGGAACTTTGAGCTTTCAAATTTCGAGATGATGATTTGGTTAGACGCCTCTCCACTTGTACCTTTTAGGCTTCATACTTCCTGGAGTCCTAGGTTTTACACTTAGGCTGGCGAGTGACAGGCCACAAATCAGTACGGTACGCAATATCCCCCGTGTGTGTGTGAGTGTGTGAGTGAGAGGCCGCCGAACGCTGACCCGGACGAGCACACGCCGCAGAACGGCGGGGCCGTCCGTGCCTCAGCGGAAGCGGCGCCCCCGACAGACTGCCGTGGAGCGGGCGCCCGGTGGAGTGTGGGATAGAATCATTAGCAACAGAACTAGAACCAAGAACTAGAATCACATTTGAATCGAAAAGGGGTCTTTTTGATGAGTTCTAAATTTAGGTGTTTGAGCCAGTGAAGCCACTCTGCAACTGGTCGCCTGCTTCTCTCTCTCTCTCTAACTTCGGCGGAGCAACTCCACTGAGGGCCGACCAAGACTGACAGCTCGAAAGCGTGTAGCTGTCGAAGTCAAGCCCGAGGCTGGAGACGTGTTTGGCCCCCACGTTCCGCCCGAACGCGCTCCGGTCTTCGGTGGTTGTTTTCCGTCCAAATCCAGGAGCCGAAAGATGAGAAGTGGTATTCGTCCACTCTGCGGCGGCTCACTCGTTGTGGAAGTTGAGTCCAGGGCGACGACCAGTTAGCACAGGGGAGACGCCTGTGGATCCTGCACTTCCAGAATTCACTTTTCGTTGTTTGAGTTGTTGATCACCAATCAATTTGTGGAATTCGTTTGAGCAGGCCATCGGAAAATCCGACGGATGACGTCGCCTTTGCTCGTTGGCAGTTTGCATTGCTGATGGCTGAACATGCTCTGAATTCGCTCGCTTGTTTCATCGTGGAATCTTGGAATCTAGGGGAAAGGGGGAAGGGAACGAGTCAAGGGGAAGACCTTTGCGAAAAGATTGCGAAAAGAGATCCAAGGCTGCCAAGAAGGCAAAGTTGGACTGCGTGACCTTTGGTTAAAGAACCGGCTTCTTCCCTTGCAAAGCTCCCGACAGCGCGTTTTTTTGACGCATCGATCTGCGATGAAAGAAACGGCCTGCGGAAAAAGAAGAGAGCGGAAGCCGAGGCCGGTCTGAAGCTTGGCCGTGCAGCCATCCAAGTTCTAATCCGTGCTTCGCTGCCTTTTTCCAGAGGGACAGCGGCCGGGAGATGTCTGGGGTGACCGAATTTTCAAGTGCGTGTCATGTTTCACGGGGTGCCGATCATGTTCAGTTCAGTCTTCACTTTCAGACCCATCCCCCCCCCTCTCCTCATCTCCTCATCTCCCCATCCCTCATCCGATAGAGGCCGCTTCCCCTCACGCCATGGACATCGGCAAAGTCCGACCCGAGGGTCCGGACCGACGCGCTTGACGTCGCGCGACGTAAACCACGCGCTTGACCCGCGCGCTTTCCGTGCGAAAAGGGTCTTCGGAACCGGTGGCTGAGGCGATGGCGAAGTGGATGAGTGGCAAGTCATTGACCAGGCGATGTCGACAGTGTCCTGAGTGCCTGAAATCGTGCAGTTGAGAAGACCATGTCATGCTTGCTTGAAAGAAGAGTCGCGGAACGGCGGAACGGTCATAGATATTTAGATGGCTCTGTCAGGTGCTGGGCCATTTGTCACAGTACAATGGCAGCCCAGATGGAAATGATGCCGAAGAGGCCGGTGTGGCGTTCGAAACGAAAGGGACCGTTGCTGACAGTGATGGAGAGTTAATAAAGTTGACCGTGATGGAGGCGTAGGGATTTTTCTCTATAGGATCATTCCACTGTATGATACCGCACGTGTTTGTCGCGTGACTCAGGTGTTGCCTTTGATTGATGCCTTGCGCAGGGCCATTGCCATTGTCCAAGGCCGTTTCTGTTGCAATTCTTCGACTCGCTGCTTGGCCTAGCCTGTTTCAGCAGGCCGACCACAAATGGTTCAAATGGCAGAAGAAGAGCGGCGGCAACTCTCTTCACAGGCTGGAGAACGTGCGGAATTGAACTTATAGATAGAGCCCGCCACTCCCCAGCACAGTCCCTTCCCTTGTGTGATTTAATTATCCTTTCGTAGATCCTCCAAACTCTCCAGCATTTTTCACCTCAAAAACCGGCCAAAAGGCACTTTTTCTTTTTTGTGTGTGGCGTCGTTGGAAGATCTAAGTTGTTTCATGTCGTTTTCCTGGGCGGCCTTGTGGTGGAAAAACACAGGCGCAGGCCACGCTTCACGAGTGGCGTCGCCGTTCCCAGGAGCGTTCCTCGCGAGACGCGTTCCTCGCGCGTTCGCCGTTGTTCCGGTGCAGCCGCGATCGCGATCGCCACTGGTTGCGTTTGAGAGCCGATCACGTGGGCCGAAGAACCGTGCTCCTACAAGGGCATCACAGCCTCAATTGCTAGGGGAGCCAAAAGGTCGAAGCTGTGCTGTCATTGATGGTCATTGTGCATGGCGGTGGCAAGCTGCGGCGACATTCGAACGCATGAGCCTTTTGGTACGTACCATCTAGCAGAACCTAGCCCCTTTCCACAGCTCGACCAGGAGCTCGAACAAGTGCAGGCGGAGAACAAGGCCATTGGGCGCCCCCTCCATCGGATTTCTCCCACTCCTAACGCGGGAAACTGCCGCCGCCAGGTCTTGAAGTCTGAACTCCTTCGTGGACGTCAGGCGTTTCGCTGTGGCGCCGTCACCGTCGGCGTGGGACGTTCGGCCGTTCTTCGACGCGGTAGGCTGTGGACGACGTGCTGCAGCGCCAGGCAGGGCGTGATCCGCGGGTCGCGCGGGTCATGTGGGTCAGCCCGGTGACGGTAGACATGCTCCAGGCTGAGTTGCAGAACCGCGTGGAGATCATGCGTGAGACGATCGAGAACAAAAGGCACAAGCTGAGACAATAGTAGTAAGAATGCTCTTAGTAGCGATGCCAGGTGCCCCTAGTAGCGTCCTTGCTCCTAGTAGTAAGGCCATGAGCCCCTAGTAGCATCCTTGCTCCTAGTAGGAGTTTGGAGGTTGACTGTCATGTTGTGAGGAACCATCTCCGGCACATCAACAAGACTTGAGACTCTTTGCTTCACAGCACGCTTGGGTCCAAGATTGCAGCACACGTGCGCGCCCTTCTTGGCCAACGTGTTGGTTTCGATGTGCCGGCCATGAGGCGTAGCTGCAAAGGATGCCGGCCCTTCGAAGAAAAGAGAGTGCGTCAACGGTGCTTGTCGCCAGCAATCACTAGCATCGTGAATCAAAGGAATCAGTATTCAGTTGTCATGGAGCAAGGTTTGGTGGACATGAAAGCTGCGGATGCCCTATGTGTGGAATCTTCTAAACATCAAGGAAAGGGCTGAGCCCTAAAGTCGCAGATGAACTACCTTCACAGACATGAGAGCGGCGGTAGGCATCATGAACACCCATAGTCGGCCCAATCTAGTTCAGGGTGGGAGACGCACGCATTGTAAATCGGCTCTTCAGCTTCTCTAAGCACTGGCAGCCTCGAAGGCTGCGGCATACAGCAATTATCAGCTACGACATGCGGGTAGTCTCCAACCGGCACTATCCAAAACATCAGTTTCTCATGGTACGCGGCAAGCAGCGCCGCTCGCGGTCCGGTTACACGCAGGCTGAGCAGCTCGACAGAACGGGTCACGGTCGGGGTCGTCAGTCCGTCAGTGGTTCTCACTTGAGCAGATGTTCTTGGGACCATTTGGGAAGATATGGGACCCATTGTTGAAGTTTAAATTTCATGTTATTTCTACTTCAGGCCTCTTTAGACATCTTTTCCAGCATATCATATCAGATATGTCCGTAAGAGATGGGGGTTGCAGATGCAGGATGCTGGTCAAGAGGTCTCAAGTGGAGATATAAATTCTTAGAGACGAAATGATGAGAGAAACGACAGGTTCTGTATTACGCACAGGGGGTCCTCAAGGATGCTTTAGCTTTGGTTCCTTCTTCTTTGAGGGTGGATTGAAGAAAACAAACACAAAAACAAAAAAGAACGTGCGAAGAAGTTGCATATCGAGTCCTTTGCTGTACATGCCTTTGGACTCCCCATCCACAACGTCGATTTTAGACCGCCCGGCGAAAAACGTCGTGTTTTTGACCGCCCGAGGAGAGATGCGGCGCCTGAGTGGCTTCGACGGCTCATGATCCTTGCAGATCACAACGCCAATGTCCCCAACGGTTCTCAACGCTTCAAAGAGTTGCAGAAAGAAGTGGTGGAGATGGCGCCCGAAGATGTGAAGGACGACATCAGGAACTTACCCTTCCTAGCAACTGGACGTTTCCGGGAGGGGTGGAAGGGGGCGGAAGGCTGAACGTGGAACGTGGGGTGGCATGAATTGAGCAATTGTGTAACTTGAAGCGACATCCCAGCATGTTCGCAGGATTTTGCAGACATGTTGGCTTGGGAGCCAGTTGGACCATTGTGATGTATTCGCAGTCGCATTGAACGGGATTTGATGGGAGTGGTCGTGCAAGATTACAGTAATCCAGGTACACAAATACAAGGTTGCACAACTCCACATGAGACACGTGTGTCGAGCCTTCGACAAGGTAGTTTTTTAATGTTGAATATGCCGCAGGCGAGCTTGATAAGAGTTGTAAAACGATGAGGAAAAGAGAATCCTATATCCTATAAGTAGGAAAGGTCATTCATACATACATACATACAAACATGACTCTGGCACACACACTTCACACACTTAGATCCATGCTCGCAAGAGCTCTATCAGTTTGGCAACTCCCGTGAGGTTAGCGCTTTACGTTACTGAAAGCTAGACCTTGACTTGCAGAACGGAACGGTGATCAGTCAGCGGAAAAGAATGTTTGAACAAAGGTGCAGCACGTTACGAGAAAAGGAGTCACAGCTTGTTCAACAGTTGAAACTCGGCAGGTCGCTTCAATTGGTTGCAGGTCCCAGGAATGTCCGTTTCTTTCTTCCCCTCCGGCTGAATCCCATAATGTCGTTGGCGCTAAGGAAACAACTGCCATGCCCCCTGCTTGGCTGTACAACGTAAAAAAGCGAACGAAAAGTTTGAATTAATGTGGCCGTGCCCCTTGGAAACAGGAGGTGACACACTTCGAACTTGGGTTTTCAGTTAACGCAATTGTCACGTTGG